CACAAACTACGAACAACATCGACATAACACAAACATTATTTTTGAGCATTCAACACAATCAAACGAGGAAACCATAGATCAGATTACTGACTCTCGTCAACACTTTCCTTAACCGGAGATGTCAATCGCTTTAACCTCGGGCTTCTTGACCTCCTCCTTGGGCACGGACACCGTGAGCACTCCGTTCTCCATGGCAGCCTTCACCTGATCCAGCTTTGCATTCTCCGGAAGCCGGAAACGGCGGACGAACTTGCCGGAGCTCCTCTCGACGCGATGCCACTTGTCGTTCTTCTCCTCTTTCTCCTTGCTCCTCTCCCCGCTGATCTGGAGAATAGAGCCGTCCTCGACCTCCACCTTGACTTCCTCCTTGTTGAGGCCGGGGACATCCACCTTGAACACGTGGGCCTCAGGCGTCTCCTTCCAGTCTATGCGCGCATTGGCCACCGCCGATGTGTCCCTGCCGGTGGAGAGAGGGAAGCCCTCGAATGGGTCCCACAGATCCAACGAGAACGGGTCGAACACGTTGCTCCGACGGTTGCCAAAGAAGCTTGAGATCAGCGACATTTTTTGGGTATATTTGTGTGTAAATCAAAGAGCAGGTTAGATTGATTGATGAAGAGATTTTGATGATTTTTGGATAAAGATTAAGAATGGTGTAGGATTATTTATAGTGGTGGGTGGAAGGACCTGGCGAATTCGTGCAAGTTCTCGACTCGAATAGCGCTTGTCATATTCTAGAGTACACGTGTTCTCTCTACATTCCTCCGTATTCCTCTCCCCCTAATCCTTCATGAATTAATTTGTAACTATTACAACGTTCGTATAATACACGGGTATTTGCTAATTTTTTCTTTTAAAATCTAAGTTAATGAGAAAAATTAGTTGAAAATTTAAATACTTTTTATAAAAATATATATATATTATATATTTAGTATGACACTTTTTATTTGTGCAACTTACATGTGTTATATTATAATAATTTTTTTAACTTACAACATATAACTACATTAAACATAAACATATCAATTGAGAAATAATTTTATTTTTCTAATGAATTTTAATAAATATTATTATTTTTTATTATTTAAAGGTAAATATAATTTATTTATTTTATATATACAATATAGATGTCAAATCGAAGATCATCAAAAGATGATTAATTTGATATATTATATATGTAAACCGATAAAAAATACAAAAGTTATCAATTTTTAAAATACATTTATAATTCAATAGTTAATTGAAGGAAACAAATCAAAAGTCAGAGATATATTAACACTTAGTGCCTCACTATGTAAAATTACAAAGAATTAAAGGGTTATATTAGTACAAGTGATATTAAAATACCTAAGTTAGCTAAATCTATACTTATATAATAACGTATCCTATTTACCAAATTTAGTATGTTGAAAAGTCAACTTAATTAATGCATTGCTATTTCCATCTAGAATTTTATTTAATTATTTTACTTATTTGTCTTATATCTCATACAATCAGTTTAAAAAAAAAATTCATAACATCTGATAAGTAAAATAAAAAATGACGTAAAATCTTACTAAAATAAAAAAAAAAGCCTTTAACATCGATTTTGTCAAAACAAATCTCATAAAATCAGTGAAGTCAAAATTTGTACGTAAAGTCTATCTATACTAAAAAAAAGGCAGATTCAAAATTCCTTATCTAATTCCTTCTTATTATCTAATTGTATGGAAATCTATTCTGATTTTGTTCAATCCTCTAGATGTATTTGTATTATATATCATAAAATCGGTTTAACAAAAAAAAACCCCATAAAATCCGCTAAGTAAAAAAAACAGTACGTAAAAATTCACTAAAATAAAAAAATGTTTTATTTATTATTTAATTTATTATCTAATTGTATGAAAATCTGTTCTCATTTTGTTCAAACCGATTTCTATACTCAGATTCAAATTTTCTAATAAAAATATTAACAGCAATATATATCTACTCTACCCATTATAAATTACAAATCTCAAAATAAATTATTTGAATCATTTCAATTTTTGTTTTAATTTCGAAATTTGAAACGTACATTTTAATTTTTTTTTTTCGTGTATGTATTTAGATATTTTTGTACATGTTTAGTGAAATATATTTTCAATTTTTTTTATTTATATTTTCATATTTGCAATTTGGCTTGTTTATTCTACATATCGTGTATGTATTTAGATATTTACATTATTTATATTTATTTTCGTGTATTGTAAAATATTTATTGAATATTGCATCTTATAGTATAATAATCTCCAAATAAATATATCCCGTGCCACGCATAGGTCACGTACTATATATATCCAATACATTTTTCTTTATTCATTCATATAATTATAAGGCTGGATAAATGGCCTTAAAATTGTGCACTCTGTGCATCGCACGGGCTCTGTACTAGTAATATTTATGGAATGTCCGAACCTAGATTATTAATTATTAATATATCAATATTATTTGTCCAAACCTAATTACGAAGCACCAGAAACAGTCACGTAAGCTCAGCGCATTCAGAAATTATATATAAGGGGGATAGTATTAATACCCATGTACAGCATGGGTTTGAGTTAATGAATATGTGTAAAGTTATTTATATCTAATACCAAATCTAACTCCAGAGCAAAAATAATATAAAATACAATATCTCGAAACATAGATTTTCGCCATGTCAGCATCCGAAGCGCGAGAATCTGCCAATTAGGCTCAACACGTTTTGAATTAATATATAGGGAGAGATTTTGGTTATTAAATATTGAAAATGGTGCCACGAACTGTAATTAATTTAAAAAATATTATAATTTGAAGTTTATTTTTATATAAAATAGTGATAATACGTAAGAAAAATTATCAAATCATAAAATATATTTTTTAAAAAAAATATATTATTAGAGACTTCATTGAACACAATATTATTAGTTTGATTACTAGGAAACTCGTCGTCCCCACAAATTAAGCGTGACTAACGATTTCTTTAAGAACATATCAATGTACGATAAAACACTGACGCTGACTTTTGTTTTATTTTTCGTAATGACATACAAACCTATGAGTAAGAAATGTTGTTACTAGAATTTAAATGGAACCGTAAGATCATAATGATCTATTTATAATATGATAGTTTATCTGGTAGTTCGACAAATGAGATGTTAGTTTATCATTTTAACATCGATTATACATGATTAGCTAAATAATATTCAATATTTTTTTATAGTATTTTTCTTATATAAAAGAACATTAAACATGTATATTTAAAATATTAAAAATATCTAAAATATTATATAACATCTGTAGTATTATCTAAAATATTCTATATTATTTTTTACAAAGTGAGGACACCTACATTTTTCTAAATTATTTTGTAAGTAAAACATGTCAAGTAACACTTAAGTTTAACACACAAATACATGTATAATATATTTAAAACATAAAAATATTACATGTGAATAATCTGTATTACAGTCTAAAAAAATATTAGTAATTATATTCATGAATAACATGTATTACCGCTTAGAAAATATTGTGTATTACAATCTACCAAACATTAGACATTACATTACCTAATTTTATGGGAGAAATTTATACAGTAGATATAAAATGTAAAAATAACAGTAATTCACGTTCATTTTTCAAGTCTAACAATCTTTAATTGGATCACTACCCTATTATATGTATGAAAACCTTTAATGAAGCAAACTTATATATATATCTATATATATATATATATATATATATATGTATATATGTATATATATATAATTGTTGGCATTTAGCATTTAATAAAATATTTAATAAAACCTCTAAAATTTTCCCTCCATTTTCGGTTACAAAAATTGTAATTAATATCTTTTAATTCTCACATTGATACATCTTAATGAGTGTAATCATGTATATTTCTATTATATTATATAATAATTATTGCTAATCCTAATTAATAATAATTCACAATAAATATTAATTACATAATTATAAACAATTGTTTCAAGTTATGTATTTTAACATCAATATTAACTTTTTCTTTTGTATCTCATAAAAAATTTCTTTAAAAACAATTAGTAAATTATTTTAATAGCATAGTTAAACAACTTTAGAATCCTATAAACAATTATTTTTTAATAATACACACACACACACACACACATATATATATATATATATAATTGCTAGCTTAGCGTTTAATTTTACTATTTAATAAAACCTCTAAAATTTTTCCTCTATTTTCAGTTACAAAATTTATCATTAATATTTTTTTACTTCTCACATTAACACATCCTATTAAGTGTAATCATGTATTTTTATATTATATTATATAATAGTTATTGCTAATAACAACTAATAATAATTCACAATAAATATAAATTACATAATTATAAACAATTGTTCGAGTTATTTATATTAACATCAATATTATCTTTTTTCTTTTGTATCTCATTAAAAAATTTCTTTAAAAACAATTAGTAAATTGTTTCAATAGCATAGTCAAACAACTGTAGAAACTTATAAATAATTATTTTAATAATAATAATAATAATAATAATAATAATAATAATAATAATAATAATAATGATCAAACTAATATTATCTAATGATAATAGACAGTTGTTCATAATAATAAAATCATTGATTTATTTTTCTTAATGATCAAATTTTTTAGAATTTTAATATTAAATTTTCAAATATTACTTATTAATATTTTATGTATATCTGTGCATGTGCACAGGATAACAACTAGTTTTTAAAAAAACACGCAAAATACCAATGAAAATAACAACAAAAAGGAGACAAATATAGAGCTTTTTTATATACAGGTTGGGTTCAGCCGGGGTGGTTCAGCCGGGGTGGTGTTTGTTTGAAAAAAAAAAAATTGTTGTAGAGATGGTATATCTATCATTTCAACTTGGACCAAGTTTCTTTCATTTACAGTTGAAAACATCCGTTCCACTGATTCTCTAGCAGCTAAGAGCCCCGGTGGCGTTCATATATTGTCGAGCCCTTTACCGGGGGCTAGCATCTGGTTGCACCATGAGAGGGTTGGGGTACCCTCGGTCAGTGATAGCCTCCTTCTTTGTAACCAAAAAAAAAAAAAAAAAAAA